AGTCCCTTAGATTTGAAATTATGCCCGTTTTAGTTTAACGTAGTTTAGCCCTAGCTTTTAGGATATAAGGAGTAACTGTTTTGAAGGACGTTTTGAGTGGGATAGTAGTATCTAGAGCAGATTTTAATGGTACTGTATTATACTGTTTTCTGTCAGTGACATGGTGTAAATATGCTATCAGAAACTGACTTCTTATACTTAATTTAACTGCTATAACTTTACAGTAATTGTGAAACATTTGTGACAATTTGATCTAGCCTGTAAACTGGTGTGACTCTTGTAACGTAGTTATTTGAGAATAAATATTATTATTATTATATGTAATGCATCAGGAAGTTCAGACAAAAACACTCAGTCCAGTGGGAATGCTGAATTAGAAACCGAAAGCTGTCCCAGTCAGCATGTTCATAGTCTCTGTATTGAAAACGGTAGGATATGATAATGTTGGTCGTCAGAGTTAACTGATGACCCCCCGAAAGAACATATGAGGAAGTCGCTAGGGGGGCATAAGCGTTGGATCGTTTCGTAGGTCCATTGGATTACGTATAGTGGGGTAAGTCAAATCTTTGGACAATGTGAAAGGTGGTTTGTCAAAAGGACCAGACATAAAAGCATTACAGCTGGAAGGGGCAGATAGTGGCAAAGAATGGTTGTGATCCATTATATCACAGAATGCAGAGCATGACTTGAAGGAGGAGGAAATATCGCAAACAACAGCTGGAGGTAGTAAAACAACTCTGTTGATGGGCTGTGCGTTAAGTAAGGGTTAGGTGCATGTTTTGGAGAGACCGAAGAATTGTAAAAGGTAATGATGTTACTTTCCTTTGTTAATCACGTCTACGACTCATGTTCGTAATCTTGTACTGGTTTCACTTCCTACCAAGAAATCCTATAACAAGCAGATCTAGAGAGCTGACTCCTGACTTCTTGAGTTACAGAGTTAAAAAGGCAGTAAATGAAATACCACTGGGGCATCAGATCGCTGGGACTTCATTATTCTATTCAGTAAATTATTGCTAACAACTTGGTTCTACTGGATTTCCTCTATTCATACAACTGACTTCCCATTAGTTATAACACTACTGAATTGTCTTCATTAACCTACATAAGTGCAGGTGTACAGTTAGTGTTCTGGTATAAAAAAGTCTGAGTAAACATACGTTTGTTTTATCCAAAAACGTATGTGCTAAGTCTTTATTCGGCTTTAAACAAGAATATTTTCTGTTCTGCTCCTCGTCCCGTTCTCTTTATTCCTCTTTTTTCAGCACCTTATTCCAACCCTCATTTATTAGTCTGGATATTTGCCGTAGACTTGGTTACCATACCCAGGAGCCTGTGAAATCATTAGCTGATGAATATCAATCAGACCTTTGCACATATATCGCACCAACTCTTGTTATATGCAAACCTGGCTCTACCATGCATCGTTTCGCAGTCAAAAAGATGATAGTCGTAACGCAAGCTTCCTAACTTCAGCAAATTATTCGCATTGTGCATTCCATCTTTAGGAAATCCAATGAATGTCGTGAAATGTCTCAGTAACTGTATACCGTTTTCAAAGAAATATGTGGCTAATCTTAACGTTTTGATCTTGCCTGTAAATCGGCATGTCTCTTGTAACATGTTTGTTATTTGAGAGTAAATTATTATTATTATTAAATTCAATTTATTTCTGACAGTTTAGTTCTTTTGATTCGCATATTATTCATTATATTACTTGCGTAGAAATATTTATTACTCTCGCAGTGAGCTCTGAATCCAAATAGGTGTAGGTTCACACGCGTCTCGCCCAGTCCAAGATCAAAAATAAACAAATCTGGGAAACAAAGGTTCTATTTTTAATCAAAAAAGGAAATACAGACGATTACCAAAACAATTTTACACCTTCGAGATTCTAATCACAACAGTAAGCTCCGATACTGAAGAGTAAGTGCTTACAGTTAGTTGCAACGAGCTGCTGCTAGCGTATCAAATCCAAAAATGGCTGTAGCCATATTAAGTGTCAACTTGAAACAACACAGATATAGTTCAGAAGGAAATATAGAAACTTCAATATAAGTACAAGATATAGAAATAATAACAAGATACAAATGATAAAATCCCAAAATGGGATCAAATAGAGTACCATAATATCGAACAGAAAGAGTCAGTCAGATCATAACACGAATATATATACATGGAGGGATTTTCCAAAAACAAAGTTTTCAAAATAGATTCTACAACTTGCTCATTAGTTATCTTACTGGTGACCTGTCTTCACTAACTTACTTAATTGCGCCGTTGGTTCTTTTTATTGAACAAAGCTTATATACGTGAAAACTAGATTCGTGAAGTCAGGTAGTTGATGTGGGTTTGGATACATAGTTTAACTGGTGTAGGCTTCGACAGTTCCATTATCAGCATGTCTTATTGTTAGGTGCATAAATTATATAGATGTACCAGAAGTAATGGTCAAAACGACAAAAAATTTAGCAAACATGTGAGAAATGTTGGAATGTAAATGACAAATGAAACGAACACTGACTAACCAAATAATTATGGTGGACCAAAGATTTATCATCACCAGAACAGAGACAATGAATGATACACAAATACACAAATATACAAAAAGTCGAAGACCGTCTATAGAATAAGTCTGTGTTAATCAACTCCACTTTCTCTACACTCGTGAAATCCTTTGAGTTGCCTTAGAATACCACCTTAAGTTTTTTCACTCACCGCCTTTATAACTTCAGTTAATAGCAAGATTATTTTGAGAAAATTAGCATGTTCAGTAACTACATCATAGGAAATTAAGAGGCATAAATGGAATAGGCTATCATACTCTATTGAGTCAATAGGTTGACACATCACGACTAGTCTAACACATTTGTGGATGTCACGGATATTCAGAGTTAGACAATGGTTTTATCCGTAAAACCTTCCAGGTCAATAGTACCCCAAGCCACGTCAAACCGGAAGTCAGGAATGATGAGGATAGAAAGTAAATTCGGACGATGATTAGGATGCTGAGAAGCGGATTCGTGACCGAGCAACTTCGGGTAGGGTGTGTCCACTGAAACTAATTGAGGTCAGCATCCATAATGAAGACCTAAGGAACCCTATATTTTAGGGATTTGTTCACTGCTACAGATTCAACCCCAATAAAAATAAATGCCAAATTGTTGAGAGTTTTTTATAGCCCTCAACCCATAACATCATTCTAAAAAACTTTCGAAATTAAATATGCAATACCTGAAACCGTAGGTAAGGACAATAATCGACCGAAAAAAGTCAAGTGGTTCATACCAGTTCGTGGAAAAGATTTTGGAGGTGTTATTCTTGTCAATGGAAAGTTATGGTTCTTTTGTTATTTCAAACTATCATCAAATGCACAAAATTCAAACTTCACACTTGATGGCGAACCGTAAGAGAAACAGGCCGGATGACTGGGAAGATTTGGAGCCATCTCCAGTTATTCATATACGAGAGTTGCCAGAACATACTCTCGAACTAGATTTAATCAGGGTTTTCGAACAGTTTGGTTCTATTAGAGATATTGCTATGATTCCACATAAAGGTCAAGCACTTATTGAATTTGATGACATAAACTCTGCTGAAAGAGCTGTTGCAAGGTAATATACAGTGTCGCATCAATCAAATATTTTTTAGATGTTCAGATAATGCTGTTATGTTTGCTAATCACCGATTAAAAGTTAATTATAGCACATCCAAACGAGTGATTCACAGACCTCTGGATAATAATAACCAACATCCCGACATGCCTCCAGAAAGCCGTGTACTAATGTTAACAGTTTACAATGCCCAGTATCCTATCACGGTGGATGTTATTAATCAAATTACAGCCAAACATGGACGCGTTTTACGTATTGTCATTCTCCGTAAAACCCGCATACAGGTACTTATAGTTTGATGCTTTATTTGTTCAAAGGCTATGGTAGAATTTAAAAGTACAGACGAAGCCCGGACCGCTAAACGGCATCTGAATGGAGCCGATATATACTCTGGCTGTTGTACATTGAAAGTTGAGTTTGCTCGACCTACACGCTTGACTGTCACTCGCAATGATCAAGACTCATGGGATTTTGAAAATCCATTATTAATGTCCACCTCACTTAACGAAGCTGATGGGCGTGGAGATATCTCTCTATTGGGTAAGAGAAACTTTCACTTATTTGCGCCCTAGGACGATTCGAAAGGTCACGTGCCCGACACGAAAGCTCGAGATCTGTTAATGGTGGCAGCTTTGGGTATCATGATGGCTTCATAAAGCAGAATGCTGTTGGGCTTGGTGTTCCACCTGCGTCGTTCTTGGACCAATTGGCTCTAAATTACCATGTATCAAGACGTGGTCTCGACGGGTTGAATGGTCAACATTATGCGAGGGCTGCGACTCCTGTTATTATGGTGTACAACATGGATATGGATCATATGAACTGTGATCGGTAACCGGTTCATTTTTAATACAAATTTCGTTGGGTTGGTAAAACCTAATATTTAAATTTTCTGCAAACTCATGGAATCGGCTCTCCGTATTCCTAATTCTGAATCTAATTTTTTTCATTGGTCGACTCAGGTATCACCGGTAGATATGTAACTTACTCAACATTAAAGTGGGAAGTGGTTACCGTCACTGGTAATTGTACTATTACTTGGCAAATATGGTGTTAAATAACATTACAACATCAGAGTAATCATATAATAGGTAGTTATAGTGTAAAAAACTTTCCACCTACCCAGCCTTTGTTGTATGGAAGCGATTTGCCATTGTCTGTATACTAGTAACCGCTATCCTGTTCGATGCACACTAACACATTTCTTAGTGTGTTAGCTTGAAGATCAAGCTGATCAGCCTCACTAATTGTTGCTCAATAGATTTTGACAGTCTGTAAACAGTGTACGACTTAAAAAGTCACAGTGGTTCATTGATGTAGAAAAGATTATATAAAATACCCAAATTAGTGCCTTGGGTTACACGACAACTAATAGCGTTTCTAACCTCAAATATACCTTACGTGTATAGCAACTAAAGCCATTTTGTCTATTTGAATAGTGCGTAACAAGACTAGTTGCATCTGACTGACTGATAACAAGACTAGTGATCTTCATTTTATTCGCGTGCCTTTAGTTGTAAACTTACACTTTCGTGCATGGTTCGTCTCCTTTCCTTCGTGTATCTATCAGCTTACCCTTTTCTGTTTAAACTGTGTAAATCCTAGCACAAAATTGACTGGTTCCAGTTTTACCTGCATAATTTCATCTCTTTGTCTAATCATACAAATACCCCAAAAAATTGTATCATGCACACCTACTTCTGGTTTTGTATAGTATTTACGTGATAAATCATAAAACGTAGAAAATAAGTCAAAACTAAGGGTTGGTGATCAACTACATTATGGGAGTAAACAAATCACAGCTAATTGGTGAACCCTAATTGATTGATGGTTCGTAATCAAATATAGGGGATACCACTAAGCGACTAGATTATTTATTCTGCTACATAAAAATCATATAATGATCGTTGCAGTAACCCTATGTGTTTCCATCTGAGCTGTTTAAAATATCAAAAATGATCTCACTAATTTTCTTGTGATTTATTATAGACGAGAATATATTTGTTGGATAAACCACTTGTTTACTACTTGACCAACTTTAATAAAACTGTAAACTCATTCAACTTTCGGTAATCGATTTTCAATTTGATCAATTATTTCTAATTATTACTCTTTCGTTTTATTTTTAGCTTGTTCAACCTTCTTTGTCTCTATGGAAATGTTGTTCGTATTAAGTTTTTGAGGACTAAGGAAGGATCAGCTATGGCGCAGATGGGCGATAACGCTAGTGTAGATCGTGTCATTACTAACCTATCCGAAGTCCCATTGATGGGCAATGCACTGTCGGTATGGTTCTTTCTGTTTTAAGTTTATTTGTTGTTTAACTGATAGGTCACTTCAGTTGCTAAATATTTATGGTGGTTTTAATTAGTTCTACGTGCTGTCGTTATATTGTTGTCAAACATTTAGTCGTTTAGACAAACTTGATCATGCAAATTTGATTATCGTTTAATTTGACATAAATTTTTAGCTTATGTTAGTAGTTCGCATATCTTTCGTTAAAATGAAAGAAATGAACTGAATTAAGATTTTAGTTGTATGGGGTATATTGTGTTGTTACTGTGTTCCTCCACTTATCCCCGTTATTTGAAGAACTTTAGTGTGTAACAAAAATTATTCGAAAATAAGAATCATTATAGTATTCTATAGGACTTAATCACTATCTAAATATTAATTTTAACCAACAAGCTTTCCTTTAAAAACTCAAAAAGATAAATTGAAGCTCTTCATTACCACACTGTAGCCGGAAAATTAAGTGTCTACGGAAAGTAAGTGTAAGTAGTTAGTATTAACTCATTACTGTCAGCTATGGTGTTCATGTATACTCAGGATTCCATTTTCAATAACTCAAACCATTTATGTTATACTGAGATCCGAATCAAAATTAAAAGCAACAAGGCTTACGAGTTAGCTAAAATATTATTATACTAGCCTCATATTTCATGGCAAAAATATGTTCTTTTGAAGGATAACTGTAGTTGGTTTTCGTTGAGGCTTGCTTTGTATAACTGATGGCTGTCATGCTATGGGTTCTTTCACGAAATTTCTCTGCCTTAAAGATGTAATTCACACCGAAGTTAATTTGTATCCGATGTAGTTCTGTGACAGTTAGTTCTAAAATCGATTTCAGTCAGTCAGTCAGATGCAACGTAGAACTTTGTACATAAGTACATCAGTTCATGTTGCCATACCTTATCAACACAGATATAATTGTCAATTCAAATCGGATAGTAGAAGAGGTAGTAAAGGTATTAGAAGTAATCGAAGAGGTTAGGATTATAAGATATTCAAGAAATATGATCCAGTGAGAAAAGTTTAGAGAGTCAAAAGTAGAGGGGTTGGAGAATCCAGAAGATTAGGATTTGAGAGAACACAAAGAATAAATGCACCGGCGCCATTGCAAACGGTTTTGAGCCATGTCATTCAGGGTAACTAACCATCGATTATTATCATCTCGCGGATCCCAACCAGGTAGTCGACAACTACCGACATGGCTCAGTCCACTCGTCAATGACTTCATGGATTTGTGCCATGTTTTGGTTTGGCCGCCCCTAGCTTTCTTCAAGTACGATTAGATCCCCTTTGAACCCAAGAAAACCATTGAACTTTCCGAATCCCCTAGTTAATCTCTCTCTACCTCTAGTGTAGTACTGTTTCTGGTTATTAGTTTTATGACACTTCGTTTTATCATTTTTTTCTCACTGGCACATTTATTAATGACTTATAATGGCAATCCGTTCCTGTTATCAGTCATGCCTAACTTTGGACGTGGCACATCTGTATATCAGCCCAAGGTCTGACCACAGCTTAGCGAAATGAGTACTTAAGTACTAATAATAGTATGAGTGTTAGTAAAAAGGTTTAGTCGCCAAGGAAAGTTTTAACAAAAAGAATTTGTTTGCACAATAGAAAGTGGAACGTAATTTTTAAATTCAGGATTTACGGATGAGTAAATTGATTTAAACTACTGTTACTAATTATGTGCCACCTCACCCACCGTCTCCGACAATTGATCACTTTTATCTCACCAACCTCAACTGGAAGGTCTAAATCAAGTAATATGGCCCTATCTAGCAGTCAGTGACATCCTGGATTTATATCTTAACTGATTTGGTCGACCTGGGCTTTTTCAAGCTTTCTTCAACGGACACCATACTGGGTAAGTGGTGGTCAGATCAAGTTAATATGTCCCATTAAGATATTTAGTTTCATCAGCCGACTCGCCATCTTTGCCTGATGCCTTACCTCTGAGATTGCTCGCTCCACTGCCTCATAATACCCCAACAGTTTCTGTTGTGTCTATCTATTTTAATCAATTGAATGTTATTCCTTTTATTTTTAGTATAACAGGAAACTCATTTAACGTTCTGAATTCACTTTTAAATTCCAGATTCGTCCAAGTAAACAGCAACTTATCCTCGATGTACCAAAACCTTTTGAATTACCAGATGGCACCCCATCTTTCAAAGACTATTCAGGGTGTCGCGAAAATAGATACATAAATCCAGACAAGGCGAGTAAAAATAGGATCTATCCTCCATCACATACTCTTCATTACTGGAATTGTCCTCCAAACTATACCCCAGAGGAACTGCGCAAACTGGTTGTTGAATGTGGTGCTTCACCACCTCGGTATGTAGTGTTGTTTCTCAACTTTCTCTTTGCTAGTTCTCCGTGAAACCACTTTTTGCTCTTATCATGTTACAATCTAGTCTCATGACTCTCGACCATAGCTGCTACATTGACGTGGTGGTCGGGCTTGCCTATCGTGATGATCCGACCGAGCTATACTGGCTGGAACATATGTTCCTGAAGGTTCTACCATGCCAGGCAGGTCGATTGGAGAACGATGAGACTAAAAGCAGCTACTCAAGGTCTGAGGGCTAAGTCGTACTGCTGACTGCAGAGGGGTGTGACAGCAGTAAGGTGTTTCCCTCGGACAACCAGCATCTGCAGCGATGCTGCATTCTCACAAGGAAGGAAGGAGTTAGAAAAGGTCGACCCTACAAATGTCACGCCTCACCCTACCTTACGGATTTCCGTCTCCGGCGGTAAGGGGGCCCACTAAGGGCTTTTAAGAGCGGGGCTATTACTCAAAAATCCTTTCATAAAAAGGCCGTGCATGACCGGCCTCAAGCAGTTGTCTATTGGACTCTGCGGTCACGCTCCCAGGCCGTTAAGACCAACGCTAATCTACTTTCTTTTTCAGGTTCCTCAAGAAACAACCTTCGATGGTGTGGGCAGCCTGGAAGTAACATCCGCCCACAAAAGCACACGAGACCAAATTGGTCACAATCAAATCCTTTCTACACCTTTTAAGAACTCTCTTATCTCCTCGACAAACCCTTCTTTCGATCGGTTATCACCTCTCGCCACTGAAGCAAATGGTACAAGCTCTCGAAACATTATTCCTGGTCACTTAAAACCCCGTACTAAATTACATATAGGAGCTTTTAATGTTCGGACCCTAGGCCAAATAGGGCAACAGGCTTCATTAGCTAGAACTCTGGAATCCCGGGCGGTTGATGTATGTTGCGTCTCTGAAACGCGCATACAAGAGCCGAGTAAAATCATCAATTTGATCTTACCTAGTGCAGATAGAGACACAACACGATTTACGCTTCGTGTTTCTGTAAGCCCTGATGCCGCTTCTCGTGGCCTCGCCGGCGTAGGTATATTATTACGTCCTAGGGCAGAACTAGCTCTCCTAGACTGTATCCCGATAGACGGTCGCTTATGCGCTGTCCTACTAAACTGGACGGTACGGACTCGGAAGGATAGGGACATTCGCCGTTGCCTCTTCGTCGTATCTGTCTACGCTTCCACTGACTGCGGTTTAGACGATATGAAAGATAAGTTTTACAGAAACCTCTCTAAACTCCAAAATGTCAAGCGCTCTGATATAGTAATAATGGCTGGTGAATTTAACGCTCAAGTGGGTAGACTCAGCGAAAATAAAAGACACCTGGTCGGATCTTATGGTGTCGCAGCTCATAGAACAGACAATGGCGACCGTATGTTGCAACTGTTCTCAGATAACCGCCTATTCCTAGCAAACACTAACTTTAAGCATAAGGTAAAACACCTTTTGACCTGGCGACCCGAGAAGCCGACCCAACGATGGACTTAACTAGGTAACATCGTTCTAAGCCATCGGTGGAGAGGCTCTGTTGAAGACTGCAGCGCATTCCAGAGCACTTGTTTAGACTCAAACCATGCTCTAGTGCGAGCTCGTATTTGTTTGCGCCTTACTGGACGCAAGAAAAATATCTCAAGGAAAACCTCTTAGGGCTCTACTTAATGATAATAAAGCTAAGAACATATTTCAGGAACAACTAGAAAAACAGTTAGACAGCCATGTAGTAAGTGATGCCCACCTTGGTGCAGCTTGGAATGATATCAAGAAGGCTGTGAAAACAGCAGTGATATCTTCTTGTAAGGTAAACCATAAGGTTAGGGAGAAGCCGTGGATTTCAGTAGCATCTACGGAACTGATGGATGCTCGAAAGCTCATCCCTCATGACTCTGAGCACGATGAGGAGCGGAGTCAGATCAGGCGCATGCTGATAAAAAGCCTTCGCGATGATCGAGAACAGTGGTGGGTAACGAAAGCAAGGGAGAGGAAAAGACAACGGCGATAGGCAATAGTGGGCAACTATTCAGACGGTATTAGGAACCGGAATGTGAGTCAAAATATCTCGGAAAAGGATGACTGTATCATTCATTCTCAATCCGGGAGATTTGTTTGATGTACAGAACACTTCAGGGACCAGTCTAACTGGCATTCAGCCACACTTCGGTTGCCCACGATCTCCAGTCATCCTAAACCGACATAAGTCCTCGTAGTCTTTATGAAGTTGAGAAGGCTGTAGGAAATCTGAAGCGACGGCGAGCAGCGAGTCCTGATAGATTGACCCCTGAGACTTTTAAGGATGGTGGTCCAGTTTTAGCAGCTAGATTGACTGATATCTCACGTAGAATCTGGGAACTGAACGTAATCCCATCTGACTGGTCCCAATTTATAAGAAAGGACAAAAGTCTTCTTGTGACAATCACAGGGGAATAAGTCGAACTAATATAGTTTCTAAATTGTTAGCCTCAATTATCCTTTGGCTCCTAACTAGAGCTCGTGAAGAGCGGGGCTGGTTTTCGACCTGGACGTGGCTGTATAGACCACATCTTCACACTACGACAGGTCCTGGAACACAGATACACATTTAAGCGTCCTACATTAGTTGTTTTCCTGGACCTTAAGGCGGCATTCGACTCTGTTGATCGTGAGGTTCTGTGGCATTGTCTATCACTGAAAGGTGTACCAGAGAAATACATTAACCTTATACAAGCTCTCTACTCGAACACCACTTGTCGAGTGAGAGCCTATGGCGAACTGTCATCTAAATTCTGTACATCATGTGGTGTCGCATCGGTACCTGAACTGATGATAGAGAGTGAAGTAATTGAACGTGTTGACCGCTTCACTTATCTGGGGAGTCTCATCAGTACTGATGGCCTGGTGACTGACGAAATCTCAGCACGGATACAGAAGGCTCGATTGGCTTTTGCCATGTTGCGTCACTTATGGCGAAGGCGAGATATCCGTTTGCTGACTAAAGGACGAGTGTACTGTGCAGTAGTTCGCTGCGTCCTACTTTATGGCTGTGAAACATGGCCAGTGAGAGTAGAAGATATTCATAGGCTACTTGTTTTCGATCATAGGTTTTTATGTCAATCAATATGTTCTTATCCATCGTTATTTTGACTGTTTCCATTAAAGACTAACCCGTTGAAATAGGTTTATGTTCACAATTAATATATGCCTATCATTCCTTAATGTTTTGGGTGGTATTTTGCTGAACTAACTATTTCTCAAGACTGTACTTTGTTCGGTTTTCCCTTGAAGGACATACTTCCCGTATTATATTTATCATTTACTAAAATATACACGATTATCCTCATTTATTAACTGCTATTTTGTGTTTGGTTATGTCTAAATTTACATTTTTATCAACCTTACTGATTGTTTCTCTTTTTATTTGTCTGAATCGTATGTAGCCAAATCGCACCTTTTCCAAGGGTGAGTGATAGATCCTCATCAGGCCTTGTAGAATGGGGGACAAAAGATGAAGCCGTTACCGCCCTTGCTTTGTGCAACCATCAAGCTATTCCAAACACTGAAGGTCGATATCCATTTCTTCTTAAATTATCATTCTCAAGTTCTCCTGTTAACGATCGAGCATTTTCAGGTTCAAAGAAAATTGGATCATCAAATATTGGAAAGTCAGCAGCATCAGTAGACTCTAGCGAGTATGAATAGTTATTGGGTAGGTTAGTTGATACTTATTTGAATTGATCAGAGTTAATCGTTTTATATACATTCCTTTTTGCTTCCTATCTCACCGTTTTCCGGCCTATGTAATATAGGTTTAATATACTCCTGGAATCATTTTCTTACTCTCTTCGTAACATATTTTTCTAATATGGTTCATTAAACTTCAATATATCCCAACTTGTTTTGGTTGAACTGCTCAGTTAATTTCCAACTCTAACTGAAGAATTACCCTTTACACTGACTGTTTTTTCAACAAGTTTCTGTTTTCGGAAGTGCTTTTTGATCACATGTCCTTTGCAGTGATCCATCTTTCCGAATTTTGTATATAACACAAAATATCTTAAGTATTCCTATCGAAACTTAAATGGCAAAATATCGCTATAAATTATTTTAGTTACTTTCTTCCGAGAAGCTCCAAACATAATCCTGTTTACTTTTAAAACGCTTCCCACAAAGCTGCTTCTGATCGTGATTTCCTGCTTTAAGTTAATTTTGAGTTATGAGAGAAAAGAACTGTTATCATGCATTACATTCAAGTTACCAATCAAACACATAGTTGATTAAGTTTTCTTGATTTCTGTAGTTAACATCACAAACTGATCTTGGCTAGCCCATCATTAAAAACTAGGAAGCAATGGTATGAAACTCCTCAGTAGTGCACATCCACAACCCCGTTGCAGAATTTGTTCGTTTAATTATAAACTTTACATTAAGAACGAATTTATTGGGCTAAAGAATTCTTTTCAACAAGTTTATTTTCAAATGATGATTGTTAAAATCTGAATACCTGTAATGTGGATTTTTACTGCGTAATTTTAAACAGACGAATAATTGTCGAAAGAGGAAACTTAGTAGACAGAAAATATATAATCACTCAAGTGAAAAGTGTAACTTCCACTAAGTTGAAGTGACATATTAATAGTATTCAAGAAATTTGAGTAAAGCATTCCTTCGTAATAATAATGGTAAGTTTAATAGGTTGTAAATTATGGATGACCAAGGCTTCTTCAATATACTAAAGGCGAAAACGTATATCTCATGGCATATTTGAAAAAATTGTATTGATGTTGTTGGAGGATGAGTTGGAGTTTGAATGTCCTGCATCTACCATGTGTTGCACAATTGATGGCGTAATTGGTCTATGTTCGATTTTTCTAGGTTAAATAGAATGTCAAAGTGACCACGAAAAACGACCTACATGTCAAGGCCAACAAGAGCAGGTGAACTGGCATAGACATATTAAGTTGGTTAGTCTCATCAACTCCATTTTCACTTGGGAGCATGGAAATGGATGAATGTAGCCAGTCAAAAGATAGAACCTGGTACGTACATGCATGGGTTCAAGTTGCCAAACCTCCCCAACACACGAATAAAATTATCAGAAAAAATCTCAGAGTATCAGTGGTAATAACAGCATCAATGGTAACAGAATAAATTAGGGATCGAAGATACAACTCAAGAAAATCTGAATCAAAAGCTTGAATTTGGAGGAGCACAAAAGTTGATGCACCTATGCCATTATAAACGACTTTGAGTCATGTCATTCAAAGTATCTAACCACTTGTTACGATTATCGTAGTTACCTCAACTAGGTAGTCTGAACATGTAAACATGGCTCAGTCCAATTGCTAATGACCTCATGGATTGATGACACGTTTGGTTTGGCTACTCCGATCTCTCTTCTGGCCTAACCGAACAGCGTCATTCGTTGGGGTAGGCGGTGCTTGGGCGCTCGCAATACGTGTCCCAACTGTCTCAGTTGATGAAGATTCACTACTTCACCAATTAGTTTACCATCCGTACCTGATACCCTATTCTTAACAGAACTATTGCTTACTTAGCGGTCCCAGAGTATAAGAACATTGCTTCAAAGATATCCATGATCGAAAACTGCTAACTTACGAATATCATCTATTCCTAGTGGCCATTCCTCACACATAAATTAAAGTGGAGAGAACCACTGTACCGTAAACTCATCATTGTTTGGCAGACTGATATCTCGCCTCCACCATGAGAGACAATTCGGTAAAAGTTAATCGAGCTTTCTATACCCGTGTCGAATTTTCATCCTATACTAAACCATCAGATTTCATGAGACTTCCAAGGTGAGTGCTCAATTACTGCACTCCATATCATTGATACATCGCCGATGGAATTTAAACTCACAGCAACATTTTACATTTGGAGGGGAAGAAACACGTCTCAAACATTATTACCTAACGTTGTCAGTAGACTGCACTTAGTCAGTTGCTTCACCAACCAGAACTATATCATCTGCGTCATCGAGTGAATCTCCAGGAGATAGTCAACTTCTGAAAAGTTAGACGATGAAACTTTTATCTTTAAAAGCATGTCTATGACAAACCCGTTGGTGTCTCTAACTTATTGATTGCCCTTAAACTAGTATGTTTCATTGGTTTAACCTTTATATTCACCAGAAAACAGTCTTTGCAAATTTTTTACTTTCTTCTCATATAATTAACTAACCCCTGATAAAAATATGTAAGCGAGTTATTTGTCACACTACCATAGGTCTTAAAAACAATTTTTTAGCCTCCAATATATCTTAGCAATCTTTATTTCGCATAAACACAAAGACTGCATTTTCGTAAACACAGCGCTTCTATATAATTAGAAATGAACCCTTAACGATTTCTTTACAGGGCTTTAAAAGCTGTTTTAATGACGTATTTAACTCTGTTCTACCAATTGGGAACCTGATTTTATTACATACGTTTATCGGGTAGTCAGACGCTAGCTGATCATGAAACGATTTTCGCATATGTTTCATTATTCCTCGATTGCACTGTTCAGGTACACTTGGTTGTATATGCTCATACACATGTGCATTGACTGATATTTGGGATGTGATGAAGTTGTTTACACTGATTTGAGGCTTTTTTGAAATCACTTGTTTAGTCTTCTCAGTGACTCGGCTTTACAGCATGATATATTTTGTTTATGACTGCTGTTAGTTTCAGTTTCTAAGGTATACTCCATAATCTTTAATGAATATCGGTTTAACGTCATTTCTTCAGACGTCGATTTGTTATCCTCTTTAGTTGTATCTACATTTCAGATCTGTTAGATCTTGTTGCATTTACCAATGCACATTTTGTGAATCCGTACATGTAGTGGATTAGTAGTAGTATAGTGAAGGAGAACACAGGTGAGGGCAACTGAATTGTATTTATCGCAAATTACAGAGTTACTCAGTAAAATAGGAAAACCATATCGTAAACGGTTAATTTGCAAATCTTCAATCCATCATCAATCCATTGTCTGACATTTCACTAGTCATGCGTTTCATACAAATTCCATTGTGTTCCCACTCTTCATTTCTTGATCTTCCCTCATCTTCTGCTGCCAGACATTACGTTTACACTCGCGTCATGTACTACTTATAAGTAGCGCGCACCACACTCGTCCCCCCTTTTAACAAGCTGTCGTCTTAGTCTTTCTGATCGCCGTACCGCTGTCTTCTTCGGTGCTTTCCGTGACTCACACACTTGATAATCTTGAAACCACCTCTGCAGTTGACTGGCATTTACACGCTTCTGCTTGTCTTCTCTCCGGATCGTGTAAACCGCGCCGCATCTCTCCGTCATAATGTACGGTCCGTCCCACTTTGGGATCAGCTTTCCCCACCCTGGTCCCCCTGCTATGCTAATTTTTTGTTCTCTACACTTTACTAGGTCCCCCACTGCGAAAAGTTTCCACGTTCTCCTCTGTTGTTCCGCCTTCTTTATGTCTGATATTTGTTTCTTTCCAACGTTCCTGATTGCCTCCTTCCTCTCTTTTCTTAACCTTGTTGTTGTCCATTTCTGTTGTTGTGGACAGGTCTTGTTGTGCAATGGAAGTCGCGGTTGTCTGCCATACATGAGTGAGAACGGTGATTTCTTGGTTGTACCTTGTATGGAGGAACGATGCGTCAGCAAAATCAGTGGTAACTCCTTCTCCCAATCTCCTCCTTTAGATGCTAACCATTCCTTTAACGTCCGGTTGTTTCTCTCTGTGAGCCCATTTGTCTGCGGATGATACGGTGTAGTTCGTATCCTCTTGATGCCAAACTGTTTTAGACGGCCTTTAAACTCGTCACTTTCAAGACAGGGACCCTGGTCAGTTAACGTCACTTTCGGTATTCCGTGGCACGCTACAATATGCCGGATCACCACTTCGAATTGTATTTATCGCAGTAAAATAGGAAAACCATATCGTAAACGTTCAGTTTGCAAATCTTTAATCCATTGTCTGACATTTCACTAGTCATGCGTTTCATACAAATTCCATTGTGTTCCCACTCTTCATTTCTTGATCTTCCCTCATCTTCTGCTGCCAGACATTACGTTTACACTCGCGTCATATACCACTTATAAGTAGCGCGCACCACAGCAGAATAGCGCAATCACGGATGTTGAAAAATGTACTGAAATGGTTTCACGAGCAGTTAGTTGTGAACACTTCGATGAACATAGAGTAGGAAATCATGCTTCTTGATAGCAGAACAGAATTTATCCCCTTCTTGTTTTGTTAAGAAATGTGACAAACTGAAGTAGTTTTTTTTATACAACCTTCCGCATTGTATATATAACTATTTAACTATTCACTTAGTCACATTGTCAATTCGTATCACTAGGCTATTAAGTTTGGTAACTATATTTTATGGTCAAGTGATATTGTTTACAGAAGAGCTTGTTTTGTGTTGTTAAACCGCCGATGTGTTTTTGTTTCTGTGTCATGAGTCACTTTCTGTTTATTTATTCACGTCCATTGTTATATGTACTTTGTTCGACTCAAAAATATCACTGAAAATCACTGTTATTCATCTTAAAGCCTAGCAACTTTCTTTTACAATTGTCTTATGAGTTTGAAGATTTCTTTATTGATACTGATCCCCTTAACCTACACATTACATGATACATGTTCTGTACGCTACTTGCACTAGTTCTAAACTTCGTTTCCTGTAAAAATGTTAAGCATAACTAACAAAGTTCAACAATACTTATGAATATATTTGTGCTAAAATCGCATATGAAAACATGCATACAGATCATAACACTTAACTAATTATCAAGTTATCATATGAACCTATTCATTCATCTTACCTACTAAATTGAAAATTTATGATCAAATCAACTCCTCCTAGTCAGTTACTCATTGATTAATTTAATTTTGAACAGTCAGGTTAATCTCATTATGAATTCTACTGTTATTGTGACGTAACTTTGTGATGTAGAGTTATCATGGATTTTTTGTTGTCGCGTAGTAGCATAACTGATTTTCTTTCAGCTAAGCACAGATGAACTATTCATAATATACTACAATAATAACATTCTTTAATTAACCATCACCTTTGTCTTGTTACACAGTTTATTTGTGTTCTCAATCCAAGTGAATATAACAATATAGAATTTCTAAACATATGATGCTTCTTCAGTAAAACTTTTGTAAAAACAAGATTTACATTTTGATTATTGAGCTTTCAATTAGGCTGTTTAAGTTCTGTCCGTAGTTTTTGGTATCCTACCGTTCACGTTTAATAATGTTTTCTAATATCATTTGATCATTAAAATGGTTCGTTATACTAAGAAGCGATCTTTCGCTTATTTTCCTTGCCCTCGTGTTATACTGTTTCTTTTAGCTCTTTTTCTCATTATGATTATTGGTGTCTTGACTTTTTGGGTTTCCAATGCAGTGGTACTTCTCTCTATTCTGCTAGAAGCTTTTGTCATTAGTTTTTTTGAATTATTAATAACACTTACCTTCCGGTTTCTGTGGAGCTATACTTCGTCATATTTTTGATTGGGCTTTCCTGATTGTTTCTTTTACGCTGAATGTAGTGTGGTAGCTTTCGGGTTGTGTGAAGTGTTTTCTTATAGGCATATTGCTAATTTGTTGCAAGATTTCACCGAGTCATATCAAAGAGTGTTTCATATTACATTTTAATAACAATATTTTAATTGCTTTCGGTATTCACATTGATGTACATAATACTCAAAACATTTATTATAAATTCATGGCCAAATATCATAGAAAACTATACAAGTTAAAAATATCCATGCTCTAATTGTTCATTGTTTCCCCATCAGACTATCCGTCCAACATAACTAAAGAACACAGCATTTGTCATCAAAATATATTATTATATTCTTCACATGGTGATTCCTGTGGTACATCAATCAACGCAGACGCACTTTGCATTCAATTAATTACATAACCGCATATTGAAGCTGAATCACACATCAATCTACAACGTAAATTTATTATTTCAATTTATTCATATTGTCATTCTTTCTTTTTCTGTTGAATTAGTCTCTTTATATATCTATATATCTATAATTACATCATAGTCATTTGTAATAATCGGTGTGCTTATTATTTATTTGTCGCTGGCCTATTGGCTTTAACTACTATTGCTAACTGTTCCTCATAAATATGAAGATAGCATTTTTTTTTGACAATACAATTTTGATGCCAAATGTTTTCTGTTCAACTGACCATGTTTGTTTGTTGTTTGTTCCTGACACTGATTGTATTGTAGTGCTTATCTTGCATACCATTTTCGCATTTAGGTATTAAAAATTGGTAAATTTCTCGTTTTTCTAAAAAAAAAAAGTAAACATATTTCCTAAATAGTTAATTATCGGTTTTTTTTTCTCCTGACTTGACTGTTTCTACTGGTTTTACTGATTTGATACATACACACCACTATGTCAGTGATCAGTGTATTTTGTCTGTTATTATACAATTTGCAGATAATTTTCTTGTTTATGCGTTTTCTTTGATTATGTTGAGTTCTGCATACTTTGTTTGTAGTGCATTTAAAAATAACATATTCAAATAAAAATATTCCCTTAACAATCTTACACAAAAATAAATGTAAAAGGCCATTTATGCCTATAACCCACAAGATTTCTTTCTCATATATATGCTCGGATGCCGATTTAATATTTTCGAATTCGTACATGAATAATGAGAAAGTAAGATTTTTGAAAATGATTAAAATGATCGTAATCTATTGACCAGCTAAGATTTGTATGTTTTTAAATACATATATCCAGGAAAATCTGCAGCTCAAAACATTGCAACATATTTTCATCCAAACGTAATACACATTTCTTTATAGACTTAAACAATCAAATCGCAATCGTGATATATTGAACATATTTCTGTGCAGTATTCTTCTACTGTTATTGTCGTTTACTCATCACTATTCGTAATTAAATTTGATTACATTCAACTGTAGATTGTGCAATATTCTTTTGTCTTTTATACAACACAACTAAACTGACTGTTTGATTCAGCACACACACTAGGTTACAAATTTAAAAATCTCAATACCGATAATTTATTTGATTTCCTTCAACTGTCTGCAGTACAATTGAGTTACATACATTGCATTTCACATTCGTATTTCAGCATGCATACAAGTGTGGATACTATCTCAGCTGAAGTGGAAATTTGCAGAAGTATATATATGTAATTTTAGTGCCACCTCCATAGGTGTTTAGTTTTACTGTTTTTCTACTTATATTTTTAAATTTTGTCTTTCATATTAGATCACTTAGACTATCCTCAAATCATTATTAATGTCTGCGTTTTCCCGTAACGTCTTTAAGCCAACTTTTAGCTTATCGAAATGGTAAGAAATTTCGCCTATTGCTTATAAGAATAAATATTCTAGCGTTCTTCATCTTGCTGGATTCTGATCAATTTAGACAGTGTTCATGTCTTTCTGTATTGGTATCTTGGTGACTGAATAAAAAAGATGTCTTCAGCCTATGTAATAAAATCTTTTTATAGCATTAAAAGCGTATATTTTGTCGTTATGTCTTCCTGGAACTTGTTAGTTTTTTCTCATTTTATCTTCACTGTATTTAGTTTATGGAAAGCAGAAGCAAAAAGTCGGTTAACCCATATGATCTTTAGCATGACAGTTATGTGCGTAATATGTATTCGCTTGTATATAATTGTATAATTTCATGTTCATGAGGTGAAAATCATGTTATAGTGTTTATTACAACTGTGTTTCATTGTCTTATTGACACAGATCTAAGATATACTTTAATTGGTTCATTCAGTCCTTCAATATCGTCAAAACATAATTTGGCTTGGTTATGTGTAGAGAATTTCAATATATTAAGATATTGTTGGTTGAATAGCCTTTTAGTAATCTAATTTTATTTAGGTGTATTAGTTAACATCAGCGTTGTCGTTACCTTTAATT